GAACGCACGTCTGGCGTAAAATGTTTTAATCCTGGTATCTAAGTTAGTTTTATTATCATAAGAACAACTCCTAAAATCATTTAACCGAAATGAAAATCATTAAAAAAACTAATAATTGTTGGTGCATGGTTACTACTATTTAGGATGAATATATTGGAAAAAAACACTTCTGTTAAAACTGGTAAATGATACGCAACTGTAGTTAAGCGAGGTTTAAATTTCGCGAATTTGTTTTGAATGTACAGACCAAGATGTAAAAACTGATGAAATCGCGAATGGGGCGAGATCGGGAACGTAGACAGTATAAGCGCATCCTGCTATACCTGCATTAATCGTCATACAAATCCAGAGTCATTTAACATGTCGCAATAGTATAAAGACAAAATTAGTAAATTTACAGATAACGCAACTTCTATTGAAACTTTAGATAAAAGCAGTTTGTTCGTTAGATGTTAATAAAGTCCGTATAATGTAAACATGCATGCGCGTAACATTTCAATTAATATATAAACACCATATGATGGCGAAGAGGGTATTTTACTACTAAGAAAAAGGATAAACAGATCAATTTCAACACCAATTCCTTATAAAAATAATCAACAAAACTTACACCAAATTGTCACCATTATAACATGAAAAAAAAATTGACATAGCCCTAGTCAACAACCCGACTAGCATAAATAGGGTAACAACATTTTAATCTTATGACCTTACTGACCATGGAATTGTTTTTGCAGAAGTAGAAATATAACTTACGAGGGATTAGGGAAAGCAACCGGAAATCCTAAAAAATTGAAAGTATAAAAAGACAAATTGGGAATCCTCAAAGTCTTCTAGTACAAAAGGGTGATCTAAGATGACATCTAACTCGGTTAAGAAACATATTCAAAATATTTTTAGAATTTACCCATAATATAATGTCAACAATGTCTGGAAATAATTTAGCAACACAACCCATTGAAACCGTAAAAGAAATACTATATCAAAAAGGCTTTTATGTGAACATATATAACCTTGGATAAATGACAAGATTAGAAGACTTAAAAAATAAGACAAACAGACTATACTTAAATAGAAAGGATCAAATCTACACTAATTAATACAAAAATACAGTACAGCTCAAGTACAAAAGAGCAAACTGGAAACATCGAGAAGTGATATACGACTTACCAGTCGATGAACCATCTTATAATCAGACAAACAGTTAGAACAGATAAATTCGTTATAGCCGATTCATGAAAAGAAAAGTTATTGCTGAAAAAGCTAATATCTCAAATACATAGTTTCAATTAAAAACTATAAATAAAGTCAACAGTAGTATACCGTTGTTCAATAGTCATAAATCGATTAAACGAAAACAAATCCGGGTTTCGAGCTAAAACCGAGGGAAACACATCAAATATAAGAGGAAAACAACGGAACAACAGAAACACTGAACTGCAACAAAAACAAACGCCAACATACATAGAAATGGACTATTTGATAACAACTGCCATTTTTCTGACTTGGTACAGCACGTTTTGAGACAAAATGGTGGGTTGAATCTGGTTTATGGCTAGCCAAACCTCCCGTTTATATTGCATTTGCAACGTTAAAATTCCCGCTAAAATGAAAAGATTACGTGACAAGAATACATTACAAATAAACGTAAGAACACTCAGGACAGAGAAATACATAAACAAATAATATAAAAGTACATTACATCATGTAAACCGCAGAATAACAACGGACACCTCCCATGAATTTACGACAGTACACCAGGACACCACACACGAAGTATAACCTGCGCGTCACACGAATTATTCAACGCCACAAAAAGTGACGTCATTTTTGTGACGTTTATATTAACACAGGTAAATTCTAAGAATTAAATAGATTTTTTTATTATAGACACATACAAGAATATAAAATTGTGATTGAGTATGTAATTGTGTTATTTTATGTATTTTCTAACCATGACTAGAATATTAAAATGGAATTGTGTTTGTAATGGTGTTATTATTTGTATTTTCTAACCTTTTTTTTCTTCTAAATCAAAACTGTGTATAAACAAAACAATCAAGTGCATATAGTTGCTTTAAACTTAAAATCATACAAATGAAATAGCTTATTTATATTCTTAACTTTTACATATATATAGAAAATAAAAATAAAATAACTGTAATATAAGGCAAGATCATGTAAGTCCAAACAGTAAACACACTTGAAAACAAACAACATAAAACAAAAACACTGCAGACAAACCACGAGTAACTCGACTATACTGACAAATAAGACATATGTGAAATGTACCGAAAATACAGAATTCAAACCACAAACGATAAGACATAACACAATATCTAACAGGACTTACAAAAGAAACATCATAACTAAATACATCGAGACACGTCGTATAACAATGCGAATTCACAATCGGCAAAACAGTCATATTCGGGAAATCATGAATCCACTAGAAAATATCAACCATCATAGAGCTGCTGATTAAAATAGTTTATGTTCATATCCTAAAAGAAATACAAAAAAACAAACATGTATCACCAATTCTAATTTTTTGAAAAATCGCTCAATACTAGAAATGAAAAAGAAAAAATACAAGACTAGAATCATGCTAGTTTGATCGCGACCGCAAACGGTGACCCATTGTTGCCTCTATTTACGTCATTTTGTCTCTACTGGATATTTGTTACATTGACAATCATACCACATCTTCTTTTTCAATAATTTTGCACCAGTCTTTAAAATTCATTGTATTTTAAAACACATTAATAAGCATCTTTACAGAAACAGCATCCTGTACAACCCAACTGAATCATTTAAACACTTCTTTCGTGCCTATATTTTGCAGTTTCGCACATATTCACACTCTTATTAATCATATTTCCAAAATTATCCTTTATAGCATACCTTTTAAGTGCGTAAAGTTATTTCACGTCGACAACCATAAGGTTAAGATTGTATTTTATTGAGTGCCGTATATACACTTTTAATACAATTTACTGTCCAAAATTTCCTTATTATATGAGATAAGTTTCACAATATTATCTGTATTTTTTTATCAAATTAAGCATTTGAATAGATTGGAAAAAAAACGGTTTCACGTAAATGATGATGCAGACATTCGATTCCCTCAGATATTTTCACTTTAAATGTATATTCTTAATGGGATTAAGAGTTTTCAACATCAGTAAACTACTGATGACTCTTAACTTTTTTTTAGAAAATTACGATTCGTGATGGTGATCGTAAAGCTTCTGTAGTGTCGATTTGAGTCTTTCTTTTTCATACCTCTGTTTTTGTATAAAGAGCACACTGTAAGTCATAGGAGTATGACTAGTCAGGGGGTTACTTAAACAAGGTTTATTGTTTCAATTACATAAGGATAAAATCTTATTTTTATTTTTAAAATACTCAATAGGGTTAGTTTAGATTTTAATAAAAGCATGGACTAAATGAAGTTTTTATGAATGTTCACATTGTTTTATTACACCATATTGAGAATAAAGCAAGATTGAGAGGAGTATAAAATTTAAAGGTTGTTTTAAAAATAATATCAAAATATTACTTCTATTGATAATTTTATACATCTTTGAGATAATTAGTAGATACAATTGCATAAGGCACATATGTAATTGTGTTTGGTTACAAATTATTAATAACTTCAAGTCTCAACCAAATCATAGGTTTCCATCTATTTAAGTTTACCACTTATGTTGGTATTTCTTTTCCTATCTTCTTGGAACTAGTTTCAGCACAGATTTTCTCGTTTCCAGTCTTAATGGTCTTGTAGCGTTTTCATTTACGATCACAGTGAACGGTATTTATAATGTCCCCCAAAATTTACGTTTTTCTCTTCACAATTTACGCAATTTGCGTTTTCACTATATCATTTTTAAACAACTGTATGGCATTATTACAAGTTTCAATCTTTTATAGCTTCACGTCTTTCTTTCCAGGTCACTTTTAACGTTTTTGAAAGAATAATTTACTTGTAACATCATCAGCGGTTGTCTTTAGTTATACCTCAATGTTTGTTTGTCATTTTGGGAAATTATTGGTTGATATCAGATCTACGATAAGTTATGCTAAATGTATTCACTTGCAACTTTTCTCAACTCGGAACCATTGAGTGCTTGTCTCATTGTTAATTTTATGATTGAAGACCGTATGTCCGTATGTTGTCTTCTATATGTCCTTTGGCTTGTTGTGACGTTCAGTTGCTGTCTCATTGGCGTATAATGCATTTCGCACGTCTATTTTTATTTGAAATAGGCTTTGAAATGCATATTTGTGGCATTATATAAGTGTGCATGTACAATAGGGTAGTTTTACATATTTTAACTTCATATCCCGCTTGAATGCCTCTTAGTTGAGAAAAGTAGGTGTTTATATATACATTATTATTTACAAAAAACAAATATATATTTTTTATTTTAAAAAATGTTACCGGGTGTTATGAATGGAAATTGAAAACAAATACATTTTAATGTAGAATAAAATGGTAAGAAAAGATAGTTTATATAATCTGACATATTTGACTGTGCCATAAACATTACCAATCAACAACTTATTTTCTTTTACCGTTTTCTCAGCATTTGTAGATTCCAAAAGATATAGTTTATACTTTTCATGCTGAGGTTGTTAGAAGCTTATATAAATCCGCATTTCAGTAAACAACTATCATACGATTTCTTCGTTATCTTGTCTACTAATTGATTTTTGTCAATAATCTATTTACAGCCAATATCTAGTGTTGTTGTAGTTATATATGTGTTAAACGTAATATGACATTAAACATATAGACATAAAGACTGTCAACTTGTAACATGTTGCTTCATTGGATCATCGATTTTTACCTGAAAGTTCATATTCTAAGGACATCCGTAGACTATTTATTTTGGTATGAGAGAGCATTCCAGAGATTTTTAGTTAGGTGATTATGGATACAACTTTCATTGCTCCTTTGGCAAGTTTTGATAAATTAAACTTAACGTTAAAAAATTATAAATGTACTCATAATATATCATTTAAGAATGGTGAAAATGACAGCTATGATACTATGACAGCTGAAAACTTTTTACATGTACTTCAATATCAGTTTCCTCTTTTACACGATATGTGGAAAAACGAACCAGAAGTACCATATGGAGTACACATACTGATTGGATTTGTAGCTTTGATAATAGGAACAGGAGGTTTAATAGGAAATTTAATAGTCATTTGTCTGTTTGTGAGGTAAGCACTATTACTTGTATATTTTGAAAAGTCTGTAAGCAATTCTGTACAATCTGCTTTGTAGCCAATGCTTAAAATCTCGTTTAGACTTTCGATGCACTTCATGACTTATAAATAATGAAAGTTGTTGTGTGAATTGAGAAAATTGAAACGAAGTAAAAAATGTCTGATTTAATTTTTTGTAATAAATAAAGGCAACAGTAGTATACCGCTGTTCGAAACTGATAAATCGATAGAGATAAAAACAAATCCGGGTTACAAACTAAAACTGAGGGAAACGCATCAAATATAAGAGGAGAACAACGACACAACAAAAACACAACATTAAAATGTAACACACACAGAAACGAACTATAATATAACAATGGCCATTTTCCTGACTTGGTACAGGACATTTTAAGAAAAAATGGTGGGTTGAACCTGGTTTTGTGGCATGCCAAACCTCCCGCTTTAATGGCAACGTCAAACACAACACCAAAACGACAACATCACATGACAGGACCACAATACAAATAAATGGGAGAACATATAGGACAAAGAAACACACGAATAATAGCTAGCAGAAGGTACTAGGTTTCTATGGGAAATATAAAGTAAAGTAAATACGTTTCAATTTAACTTTCGAATATAAAGTAAAGTAAATACGTTTCAATTTAACTTTCGAAAATAACCGACGTTAGTGACAACTGACAGGGGACATTTTTGCGAATCGATAGGACATTTGAGGTGAAAATATGGGAAATACAAGCGTCAATTAGATTATGACGTTCGCTAAAATTTTCATTGCTCGTATTAGCGACAGAAATTTTTCAATTTTTACTTATCTATTACATACAATAGATTGTTGTGATTATGAACAGTTGTAATGTCAAAACAGCACAATAATGAAATGTCGTATTTCATAAAACAAAAATGGAGTTCGAAAAGCATGAATATCTTCCACAATAAGATTATTCATTTAATTGGTTTTATATTTGTTTCAAGAATGATCATTTGCTGTTAACATTCTATATTGGTAGCTTTAAATCTTAATCATGTTGCATGCTATTCCTTGACCGTTCAATACTCTGTCGATCCGATAACCTATACGTTCCATATTTTCTTTGGTTTGTTTATTCATTTCAACACTAAAATAAACATCACATATAATCAAAACTTTAAAAGTATGCCTTAAATAGATCATTCCTCAAATTAAAAGTAAAGTAAATACGTTTCAATTTAACTTTCGAAAATAAATGATTGTTGGATTAATCTTTCGCTAAAATGAGCTATAAAGTCGGTCCACTGGAATGTTTCGCTCATATATCAACCGTCCGTGAAAACAGCTTAAAGGGCATGAGCTGTCAAATTTATGTTAACCGATTTTACTCATATTCTCATAATTGATTTATAACATACTAAAACGTATACCCAAATAACAAAAAGTCTTTAATAAACAATAAACAATGCATGGACTCGATAATATATATCAGCATTTCGTGTGTATTTAAGTTTAGACGCCATCTAATAAACCATCGAGATGACCTCCGAAGTCTGCCGACCGTCAAAAACCCGATATAGGAATAAATATGGATATAATTTGATAGTAAGCACGTGCAATTGGATTTTTCTAGGTCTGTTTGATTTCATATTTTAGGTTTTAAAAATATGTTTATCATCGAATTATCTGTACAAGAATGCTTTTTTGTTGATCGAATCAGTCAAGCAAATGGTTCACCCTTGTTTCACTTTTAATGTTGACATTCTATTCCTTTTCATAGCTAAACACGCCTAGTACATGCGTCACCCATCTCTAGCTGAAAGGTCAAATTGAGGGTCACATGAATACGGATTCAATGATGTTAAATTATTGCAAAGCTAGTCAATGATACATCACCGATATTTTCGATCTCATTTTGACAAATTTGGGCCAAACTGACTGCTTATAACGAAATATTATTTCAAAATTCCGCTTTTATTTATACTTGAAACAAACAAAAAATCGTATTTCAAAGTTTTGTCTAGATCGTAGCTAAAGCCCCTTTAATCATAAAAAATTGCTTGAATCAGAGATATATTTATATAAGCTTCTCTTTAAAATTTTGAATGGTGTATTCTTTATAACGAATCGTCTTTTCAATAGCTACTTACATCTCATTATTTTGTTAGGGGGAAAATGATGAAGTGGTATTGCATTTTGAGGTCAAATTTTCATTCAGATTCTGTTAAATTATGATTCGATTCAAGGTTTTACGACAAACTCTCTTTAAAGACGCACAATTGAAATACAATAGCATACATTACGCCGTTAACATCACTGGTAACAAAAAAAAAATGATAATCATATGAATGTAGGAGACTTGCCTTTAAACTTCTCAACTTTTAATTTTATAATTATTTTCACGTTCTGTCCATGACTAATGTAACGTGAATATAATTCAACTAACATACATTTTGTACGATGTGCACAGAAGACTTTTATTAATGTACATAAGCTATCTTTGCATAAAATTAATTTTCAGTCTTTTAGTAAATTTTCAGGCTTATCCACTGTGGTAAATTCAGTACTGTTCAAACAATTTGCTCGCAGTAAATTAAAATATGTTTAAACTATGATCAGACTGTTCAATAGTTGTTATTTACCTGTACACATCAATATTATACAGAATAGTCTGAAAAGCTACCTAACAGTACTGAGTTGACTGCAAGCGAATTGTCTTAACAGTACTGAATTTACCGCAGTGGATAAGTCTTGGAATTGACTGAAACACTGAAAATGACTGAACAATTTATTGTTCAGATTTGTCAGATGATGTTAAGATCAAAATAACTGTTTAAGACAAATTGGCATTTACTAATGAGATATAAATGAATTTAAGAAGATTTTGTTGCAATTGGCAAATATGTAAAGACATTTTTAAACACATATTTTACAATGTGGTTTATGATTTTTATGACATTTCTAATGTAGCGGTAATTTTCGTGACCTTGTAGTTTTATAACCGCCATTCATTAGCGGCGTACTCCTTTTGATCTTTGGTAGAGAGGTAAATATCAGTGGCTGGTAATGTGGGCAGTAAATTCATGCTATTATACTTTCTTTCATTTCACACTACAACCGAAAAATTTCCATGACAAAAGAGAGATTAACATGTAACTGGCATCAAGTGACCCTGATTACGTGTCGATTCGCCTTAACAATGTGACAGGTGTGTTTAACGTTATGAAATGAACAGAAGTCAAAAAGAAAATGGCCAAATAAAAATGAAAAAATAAACATTTTTTTTTTAAAGTTGTGGTGCCATCTACAAAATTCAGATTCATTCATGCATACTATTTTTTTTTTTTTTATTAAATATTTACCCTTCTAAATCTATTTGAAATCATGCCTTTTATCTTTTAAATAATAATTCTGATTTCTTTATCATGTGCGATAAAATCGACGATATGATTATAAAAGAATGATTAATAACATCAGTTTTGAAAAACAAAATGGTGCTTCATGTATATATTCAATTTTCCAAATATAAAACAAAAATGTCATATTAAGTAAAGATCGTGCTCGTTCAAACTGAATAATATTTTTTTAGTATCAAATTATTTTTTCATTTTCTTAATTGTATCTATTTTGATGGACAAACGCAATGAAAGTTTCATTTCAAAACGTGCCTAAAATTTTTTCTTTTTTACACAAACTTTGTCAACTCCCCATGCTGTATCTATTTTGATGTCGTTTGTTTTCTGTATATAAACTTATCATAGATACCAGGATTAATATTTTGTACATCAGACGCGCGTTTCATCTACAGAAGACTCATCAGTGACGCTCAAATAAAAAAGTGAATACGGCGAAATAAATTACGAAGTTGATGAACATTGAGAACCCAACATTGTGAAAGTTTTTTTCCAATTACAACTAAGTGAATCTATTCCTGGGTAGAAAATCACTAGTATTTCTAGAAATTGAAAGTGTTGTAAACAGTAAATATATATCTGTGTTTTATATTGCGATTACATTTGATATATAAATGGCATTATAATTACAACACAACATTTTGTAAAGTCTCATCCCTCAATAATGTATTATACAGCATTACATTAAGTGTATAATTCTGGAAACGCATACTTTTTGCAAAAGGAAATACAAAGTGATTGAAAGGAAGCTTGCTTCAGTTTTCAAAAAAAGTCAATAAAAGAGCAATTTTCCTTAATGAACATCTAATTGACGGGGAAAAAAGCATAAAACCAGGTTTCCAGTTTCATAGTTAATGGTTACTTCGAATGATACATTAGTTATTTCGAAATGCGTCGTCTTTTTTTTTCTCGTTTCAAGCTTAATGTGAAGGTCACTTGATTTGTTTTCGTATAAATTTTCAAGATCACAGCTTTCGATCCTTTAATGAGGTTTCGTTGCAAGATAAAGAGTTGTTAATAGTACAATATTTTCTCTCTCTTATTTTAAGAAAAACACCAGGAAAGGTTATTACAATATTGCCACGAGCATCCAAAATGTAAACATATGTGAACCATAGCAATCCCTCGTGCCATACTGAAATTATTAATTTCTAGGAGTACCAATAGATATAACACAAATGCATATAATCGGTACTAACATTGGAAGTAAGGCGACGGAACGGAAGAAAGCTCAGGAGGATTATAAAAACAAATGATCTGAAATTGCAACTTGCAACAAAAAATAATATTTCGAAACACAGATAGAAAAAAAAAAAAAAAAAAAAATCCGGAAAATTTTAAAAAAAAAGTTGTTTGTGAAATATCCATCATTTTACAACCATGTGGCAACAATAGGCCAGTGCCCTCAGAACGCGGGTCGTGGGGGTAATACGGTAAATATTTTAGTTATTAAATCTAAATTAATATTTGGTTGATACAGGATAATTAAAAGGAGGTTACAGGACGTTTCGTAGAAAAAGGAGGCTTCAATCCATTCTTTCCCAAATTAACGCGAGATTTTTATATAAAATTTCAGAGCCAGAGGTAACCTCCGGATCTAATAATAC